ACTGCTCGAGCTGCGCTGAGGACCCTGGCCATCCACTGAATGAGGTGAGTACCGCCACAAGAGTGGTATTAGTAGTCGTGAAGGAAGCACCACTGGTGATAGCCGGTGACAACTGAAAGAATCCTGCTTAGAAGTATAGATTGTTTAACTGTTTCTCCCTTTTCCCTCTTTTGATCAGTTGTCTGTTGATCTGTGAATAAAATAAATCTGTCCCCAAGCCATCAATATGTTTTGTTCTCCATCTCTTGATTGAACAGGAGATGCAGTCCACATGATTGGTCACACCTCTTGTCTATCATAGCAAACTACCGGTAAGCTACTTATTTGCCCCAGAATAAAAAAACAACAAAAAATAAATAAAAATAAAACAGTTTCTCCTCCATTCCATTAGTGTTTGTTGTGGCAATAGGAACAACGCTCCAAATCATGAACCAAAATGAATGTTTGTGCATTATGCAAGCACTTATTTCATGATTCTGGCACATGGCCATTCGGAAATCAGAATATGATGTGACGTAAGCATCCCAAAATTGGTCAAGGTTTGGAATTAAACAAATCTCAAAGTTTAGAATATGGGGATTCTAATTGGAAATGTAGAAGGAAATGAAGTAAAAAAGGCTTCACCTGACATTGTACAGAGACAAAGAATACTCATCAGAATCCTCCTATTGTGTACTAAAACAAATGAAAATTTTTAGGAAGCGGCATTATTTATTGTTCAAACAAGAAGCAGTAAATTACTTTATGTTTTTTTGTTTGTTTTTTAAATGTCGCACGTTGACAATCCTCTTAAGAAAGTCTCAGATTTTCCTGAAAGTATTTTGTGTAATTTGGCAAACTTGATTCTGACTGACACTTTAGATACAGACAAGTCACTGGAATGCAACAAGGACATGGCAAAAACCTACAGCTCTTTCATTTCAGTCTGAGTACTTAAAGAAGAATTCACAATATGTTTCTTTTTAAAATTTATTTTAAATATATTTGAATTTAGCACAGAGATGCTAAAAGGGTAGCATGTTTTATTAAACTGTAAATTTCAAAATAACTACCCTTCATTGCTAGTGCTTTCTTGACCATAATGCTCAGTATGAGCATTGTCATGCTATCCCAGTGCCTCTCTAAGATGAGAATGAGTGGAGCTGCATTGAGGAGACCCTCTCTCCTCCAGATTTGAGATAGTAACCTCTTTGTTTAAAAGCTACTGGACGGAAAATGGGGCACAGCAAACTCAACAGCACTCCAGCATCAAGAGGGAAAGTGTGGATCATAAATCACATTAACACACCTTGTCCAATATATTAATTTTTACCCCTTAAGGGAATGCGTTAACTGGCATGACTAACACTGACCACACTTGGAGGAGTAGACAATGCCATGTCCATTCTCCCAATGCATTAGTATTACTCTTGTCAATACTGCAGGGCATTGATTGGGGGTGGAGATGGCAAATTGTCCATGCCCCACACTATTTAATGTGTCCCACCCAGTACCTTTGTTAAACAATATTAATCTTTTGCAGTATTGGTTATTCACTAAATCTGGATTTTGGATCTGGATGGATAAAATCTGGTGAAGATCACCAAATTCTGACTGCATTGGTAATTCTCATAAAGCTAGATGTGGTTGGAATTCGGTCAGCCTGAGCGAATCTGCAGCAATCGCTCTTATATTCAGTGTCTGGATTAAAATCAGTGCTTTCAGATACAAATCATATACGAAGTATATTCGCAAATTATCATTCACTTGCTTTCATGCAAGTGAATTGATCATTTAAAGAACTATTTGCCTGCTGTGGACAAATAGTTAAAAAATACAGGGGAAAAAAGGAGCAGGTTTACCGCTAATTAATCAAAATGAAGGTAGCAAACCAAAAACAGGGCAGCCCTCTAAACCCTTCAGGAGATCAACAAAAACAACACAATGGGACTACCATTTTTTCTAAATAGTTTGAAAACCCTCAGTTGTGCGAGAATTAATGATGTGGTGACTGTCAAGCACTTGCTAGCAGGCTGCCACATTAAAAAGTAAAAAAAGAAATAATAATAATTTAAAAAGATCATAGGGGTGTCAATAAGACCCCAATATCACAATAATATGCCCTCCATATGCCTACATGGCAGGGGGGAGCATGTCAACTAAATGTTTTAACCCCTTAAGGACTGGACTGTTTTTGCGATGTTGTACATTTGCGACCAGGCATATTTTTACACTTTTGTGGTGTTTGTGTTTGGCTGGAATTTTCCGCTCTCTCATTTACTGTTCCCATACAAATTATATATTGTTTTTTTCAGGACAAAATGGGCTTTCTTTACATACCATTATTTATATAATCTCATGTATTTTAATTTAAAAAAATTAAAAAATATGATGAAAAATTGAAAAAAATACATGTTTTTTTACTTTTACTTGAAAAATCTTTTACTCATCTACAAAAGCGAATGAAAAAAACTGCTAAATAGATTCAAAATTTTGTCCTGAGTTTAAAAATACCCCGTGTTTACGTGCTTTTTTGCTTTTTTTTGCATGTTATAGGGCTATAGGTACAAGTAGGATATTGCGGTTTCAAAACATACATTTTTAAAATTTATCAATAGTGACATTGTAACACTATTATCTGTCATAAATCTCTGAATAACACCCCACATGTACATATTTTTTTTAAAGTAGACAACCCAGGGTATTCAATATGGGGTATGTCTAGTCTTTTTTAGTAGCCACTTAGTCGAAAACACTGGCCAAAGTAAGCATTCATATTTGTTTGTGTGTGAAAAAAGTAAAAAAACTAAATTGAGCGCTAATTTTGGCCAGTGTTTGTGACCAAGTGGTTACTAAAAAAGACTGGACATACCCCATTTGCAATACCTTGGGTTGTCTTCTTTTGCAAATGGTATGCCATCATGGGGGTAATTCTCATTCCTGGGCTACCATACGCTCTCAAAGGCAACGTAACCAACCTGGCCATTTTCAATGTAAAAATATTTGACCCATATATTTGACCTTGTAACTTTCATAAATGCTATAAAACCTGTACATGGGGGGTACTGTTTTACTCGGGAGACATCGCTGAACACAAATAGTAGTGTTTAAAAACTGGAAAACGTATCACAACAATTATATCATCAGTAAAAGTGCTGTTTGTGTGTGAAAAATGCAAAAAAAGTAACTTTCACTGACAATATCATCGCTGTGATATGTTTTACTGTTTTGAATCACTAATATTTGTGTTCAGCGAAGTCTCCCGAGTAAAACAGTACCCCCCATGTACAGGTTTTAGGGTGTCGTAGAACGTTACAGAGTAAAATACAGTGCTAGCAAATTCAATTCTCTGGAATTTCGGCCTGGGTTGGCAGGCAGGTCCCTCAAATTGCAATCAATAAAATTACTGAATTATGTAAAAATATTACATAAATACGCACGTAGAATTTAAATATATATGCATATTTATATATTTGAAGTCTACGTGTATATTTATATAATTATTTATGTAATTTTGTATATGGACATATGTATATTTCTTATTATTTTTATTTATTTTTATATACATAGATATATATACAAATTCATTCTAAGTGTATTTTGATATAAATATATATATATTAATTTTAAAATACAGTTAGAATAAAATTTCATATAGATATATAATTTTTTTTTACATTTTTATTATTATTTAAAAAAAATGTATTTAATTTAAATTACTTATTATTTATATTTTATAATAATATACATATACAATATATATAGTTATTATATATATTATATATATACGTGTGTAATTTAATTATAAGTGTATTTTTATATTAATATAAGTACATATTAATATAAAAATACACTTAGTATGGCATTATATATGATATATAGACATATATTATATTGATATAATATATGTCTATATATCATATATACACATATATAATTATTTTTTTTTTTTATTAACACTAACTTTATTTTTTTTTTCTGATTTTACACATGCAGGGAGACTGCCTGTCAGCACAGACAGTCCCCCTGCAGGCAGACACATGGACACCTATTGTGACCATGTGATCACTGTGTTGAGCGATCACATGGCCACAGGGGTCCTAATTCAGTGTGGGGAGACTGTCTGGGCTGCAGGCAGTCTCCCCACAACCGGAGCCATGCTGATCGCCGCCGGGGGAACGACGGCGATCAGCTAAGTAACGGAGACCGTTAGGACGGTTCAGGACCGTCATCGGTCGGCAAAGCAAAAATGCCGATGACGGTCCTGAACCGTCCTAGGTCGTGAAGGGGTTAAAGTTACGACAAGGCAGTCATTTCTGCCCAGTCACTAGAAAAGGCCCCATCCGTGACCAGCAGGCAGGGATATTTAAAAGCAATCAATGGGGTGGGGACTTTCATCAGATTCAGTAGAGAGGACCTACCGTGTCCCATACTTCCACATACGGTTATACATACTATTGGCTACACAGTGTATTTGCAGAGTGCTGCTTTCTGCCACTCTTCCTAATAAACTGATAAACTGATATACTTACAGCTGATTACGTGCGGCCAATCAGGATTTCAAATCTAAAGGTGCACCTGCTTACAAGACAGGGCCGGATTAACATAGGGGCTGATGGAGCTGCAGCTCCAGGCCCAGTCCCATGGAATAGGCCCATTTACACACTACTGTTAGGTTTGCCACCTGACTGGTATTTTACAGGCACAGCTGGTATTTAAGGCTGCCTGGCTGTGCCGGTATTGCATGGGCGGTGCTGGTATTACTCTGCAATACCAGCACCGGCCATGGGGACACTGTGAGACATTGCAGTAATACCGGCAGGTATTTTTCTCAGTATAAATGGAGATTACTCTGCAATACCAGCACCGGCCAGTAGGGGTCACTATATGTGGAGAAAGGCAGGGATAGGAAGTTAAGGCATATGGGGGAGCAGCTATACAGCACAGAGAGTCCAGACAGCTGCTCTACAACTCAGGTAAGTGAGGGATGGGGGAAAGGCAGCAGGGAGACATGGGGACACTGAGACACTAGGGGACACTGGGATACCTGGGGACACTGAGATACTTGGGGACACTGGGAGACATGGGGACACTGAGACACTAGGGGACACTGTGAGACACGGGGACGCTGAGGCACATGGGGACACTGTGAGACATTGCAGTAATACCGGCAGGTATTTTTCTCAGTATAAATGGAGATTACTCTGCAATACCAGCACCGGCCATGGGGACACTGTGAGACATTGCAGTAATACCGGCAGGTATTTTTCTCAGTATAAATGGAGATTACTCTGCAATACCAGCACCGGCCAGTAGGGGTCACTATATGTGGAGAAAGGCAGGGATAGGAAGTTAAGGCATATGGGGGAGCAGCTATACAGCACAGAGAGTCCAGACAGCTGCTCTACAGCTCAGGTAAGTGAGGGATGGGTGAAAGGCAGCAGGGAGACATGGGGACACTGAGACACTAGGGGACACATGAGGACACAGACACTAGGGGACACTGGGATACCTGGGGACACTGAGATACTTGGGGACACTGGGAGACATGGGGACACTGAGACACTAGGGGACACTGTGAGACACGGGGACGCTGAGGCACATGGGGACACTGTGAGACATAGGGACATTGGGAGACACTGAGACATTGCCAGTGTCCCTAGTAATATAAGTGTCCCCATGTCTTTAGTGTCCCCATGTCTCTCAATGTTCCCAAGTCTCCCAGTGTCTGTGTCCCCATGTCTCTCAGTGTACCTAGTGTCTTCATATCTCCCAGTGTCCCCAAATGTCTCCGTGTCCCCATGTCTCCCAGTGTCCCCATGTCTATGTCCACAAGTGTCCCCATGTCTCCAAGTGTCTGTCTCCCAACCAGTGTCCCTCAGTGTCCCCATGTCTCCCAGTGTCTGTGTGCCGATGTCTCTTAGTGTCCCCAATTCTTTCAGTGTCCCCATGTATTCCAGTGTATGTGTCCCCATGTCTCTGTGTCCCTAGTGTCTCAGTGTCCCCATTTCTGCCAGTGTCCCCAAATGTCTGTGTCCCAATTTCTCCCAGTGTCTCCATGTCTCCCAGTGTCAACATGTCAGTATCCACAAGTGCCCCCATGTCTGTATCCACAAGTGTCCCCATGTCTCCCAATGTCCCCGAGTGTCTCAGTGTCCCCAGGTCTCTGTGTCCCCATGTCTCAATGTGTCCCCTAGTATCCTAGTGACATGGGGACACACTGAGACATGGGGACACTGGGAGTAATGGGGACACAGACACTGGGAGACTAGGGGCTTGGGTGATATGGGGACACTGACACTGTGATACATAGGGACACTGAGACACTGGGTGACCTGCAATACTGAGACACTGGGAGACAGGGAGACACTGGGAGCAATCCATCTATACAGCAGAATCAAACTGTGAGTAGTTTGTTGGTGATTTTACAGAATTATCTCTTATGTCACTCCTTGTGATTTACATCGTGTGATGTTACGCATACATAATTATGCAAATTATTTAAGGCTGGTATTTTTTTCCAAGAAAGGTGGCAACCCTAACTACTCTTCACATACTCTTGCTTAAACGAACACTATAGGAGCACAATCATGTATTTCTGACCCTATTATGTTAAAACCACCATCTAGCCTTCCTGGCCTCCTCTTGCCTCCCTAAATATAGTAAACTCTTACTTGTATTCAAGTCTGCAGCTGTTGGCTCTGCCTCTGAACTGACTCTGTCTGCTGATATCATCAGAAGTGGTGGTCTGAGCAAATTACAATACTTCCCCATAGGATTGGCTGAGACTGTCGACAGGCAGATCAGGAGCAGAGCCAGCACAAGTCAAACATAGCCCTGGCCAATCGGCATCTCCACATAAAGATAAATTGAATCTCTACGAGGAAAGTTCAGTGTCTGCATGCAGGGAGTGGAGACACTGAATGCCAGTACTGCCCCAAGAAGCACCTCTAGCAGCCATCTAAGGAGTGGCCAGTGAAGATATTTTCTCTGAAAACCGTGTTTACTGCAAAAAGCCTGAAGGGAATGATTCTACTTACCAGAACAAATACAATAAACTGTAGTTGTTCTGGTGACTATAGTGTCCCTTTAAGGTTAGAAGCTTAAGAGGGATGTATGGGAACAAAACTTGTGTGGACTGGCTGAAAATAAAATTATTTTAGGTAATGCAGACTTCGGTCTCTCTAACACTGTGGCATGCCCCCTTTCTTCTACACTCACTACATGCACCTTTTTTCTGTCCCAGACTATATACCAGGAACTTCTGCCTGTTAGTAAGAAGGTAAGGAGACAAGTGAACATGTGAGTCCTTAGAAAGCTTGGAGTAGGTGCATCATTTGATGCATTTATGTAAAGCTCAGGGTTCTGCATGCATAGTATGCCCTTAGTTGGACAGCCTGCATGATTGGCAGGCAGCCTGACATGCATTCATGCCAGGCTAGCCTTCCAATTCTTTGGACAAACATGCCTCCTTTTTGGGCAGGTTCACCCTTTTGGCAGGTCTGGTCACGGGATTCGCGCCAGTGGCACATCCTTTTACCCTGCTTCACTGGACACTGCTGTTAGGGCTATGGATTTACTTGAAAGATGAAAGCATAAATTAGAGAGAGATTAGCATAGAGTATGTGTTTTTAGCTGCATCCTTTGAGTTTCCCTCCAACACCATCTCTATCAGATACATGACGCTTGGGAGGTATGACTGTTTTACTGTTTTTGGTCGATAAGATTCTGTACTTAGGCCCATCATAATTGTCAGCACCAGGCCCACTGGGCTCTTAATCTGGCCCTGTTACAAGATAGTTATTAATCCTCTATGGTTATTTTAATATTATAAATGTAATATTTTGCAATATTCTGTCATTCTCTGCTTAGAGCAGTGGGTTTTCTAAACAAAATTACACTACTTACAAAATACCTATTCTTCTGTAATCATCATCTATTAAATATGACATTATAGTTATTAAAAAAAAAAAGAGCAAAAGTATGAGTTCCAGGCTGGTTAAAAATAAATGTAATAACTATGTAAATCTTTCTTGATGAAAAGAACACACATGAGAAATACTTTTCCTTTTGCAATATGGGAACATATGATTCTTTTCTTCGACTGGAAATAATTTAATCGAGGCCACTATGTGTCAAGTCTATTCAGTATGTAAAAGATACCATTTCCTGAGGTGTTTTTGTAGCAATATCGTTTGCCTTATTTTCAGTATTTTACACAAGTCAGCTTGTGTAGAAAATATAAATATTCTAAGTACAGTTCAATTTCAATACATGCTCAGTAATGCTATGGGCAACGGAATTAACGAGATATACCCATCCTGCACCCTTATAAAGCACTGCTGCATGGAAAGGATTGCCTACTCTTTACAATAGTTTATAATTGGACATTTGTTTTAGTCTAAACTGCAAGTCTGCAGATTTTGGCTAATCAGGTGATCTGTTGAATTCCTGAAATCCGATCCTAAATCTACCTAAATCTAAATCCGATCCTAAATCTACCTGATTATGAACTAACCAAACAACACGATGTCAAACATGTCAGGGGTAGGGAGTTGGAATGTGTTCTGAGTACCCATGGCACCAAAAAAAACAAATGTTGATGAATGATGGCTATGGGGCAGTCACTGAATGTTGATTTTATTTGCCAATCAAGTGAGAAGTGAGCAACAGATTAAAAAACAGAAGGAGCATTAAAAAAAATCATCTGCAATCTGATGATTCTATGAAGGACACAATGGGAGAATGTACTGATGACCAAATGATGCGACAAACATTATTCTTCCCTGCACCATTCGTTCGTTTGTATGTTGTGATTGGCACTTTTATCACACATAGCGGAAAAAACAAAGGCAGATAATGTATAATGAATTTAATTGGACATTGCATGCCTGAAAACATCTACAAATATATTAATATTTGACAACTGCAAGTGTATAAATTATGGATGTATGTGCTCTGCCTGTAATGTATTGTTTTTGAATTTGTGAGTATAGTGAGTACATGCAGCTGTGTAAATGCATGCATGGTAAAAGGGACACTCGAGGCACCAAAACAACTTCATCTAAATTAGGTTATTATAGTGCCAGGAGGCCTATAACCTCAAGGAGTTAACTCCTAACTTGCCTCCACTCCCCCCAGACACTCCCCATCTGGCTTCTGAAATCTCAAATTCAGGAAAGCATTGGTTGAAAGCATCAGCTGGCAGCTCTCAGCCGATCAGCGTTGACCCCATCCGGCAGCACTCTGCTCTTCCTGAAACTGAAAATTCAGAAGACAGATGCTGGGGGTGGGAGTGGACATAATCTCTGGAGTCAACTTTGGGGTTAAACTGTTTGTGAATGGTTTTACTCCTTGAGGTAAGAGTAAGAGTTTCCTTGCACCATAACAACTTTATTTAGATGACGCTTTTGTGCCTGGAATGTCTTTTTAAAAGTAATGTTAGAAGTGGTTAAGGTAAATGGAGGTTTAAGGTTAGAGAGGAATTAAAATCTGAATTAAACTACATATGGTATTTAGTGTAAAAATGATTTCAAGCTTGAGAGGGATTAAAGATGTAATATAAAGGTTGTTTATGATTATTGAGTTTAGGGTTAAAGTTGGGTTCAAATTAGCTTTTGGGTATAGGGGGTGTTTTAGGATTAAACTAAAGAATGTGCACTATAATATGGCGCTGCAAACTAAATGTGAACATAACAAACAAAATAAAATGCTGCCACCTAACACTGTGTCAGTCAATCACAAAATGTTATCAATAAATGGGGCAGGGCTTGGGCGCCATCCTGGAAGGTCGCACGCAGATTGAGCTCCTGCCTGAAATCGATATAAAAGTGATCTAAAAGGAGCAAATACCCCAAAACAGAAAACCCCCACATGAACAACCTCATCTTGCATCGCTGGAGTGACTTCGGAGTGGATTACAAAACCACCATTCTCGCAAACCAGCAGCTGCAGCCTCCACCCTTTCTCAGTCTGGAACTGCCATGGTGGGAGAAGTGGACAATCTCTATGCTAGGGGTGCCCCCGGCGTTTTCTCTTGTGAACAGTCCGAGCCTCGTAACCCCCCTAAGCCGGCGGGGGATATCCCGGTCCCCACCAAGCGAGTACTTACATCTGCGGCGCTCCTGGGCAACATCAGTGAAGGTGGCCTACACGTGGCCTCCCCAAAATGGCAACGGTAACGCTGCACAAGCTTACTTACAACCCAGCAACGAAAGCAAAATTCCGGCACAGATTTGAT